ATATAGGACCTACAATAATGTACAGTATTTGAAAAATAATGTGTTTTTTGAACATTAAAGCATGTCAACATATTCTGTTACACCAAATACACAAAATAATGATCTTTAAAAAAAGCATCATATGACCCCTTTAAGAAATAAATAGGGTCCCATTTTAATTTCATGTTGACTTCCTTGATGTAAGTGTGGGTTGACTCCTACAAACTTTGGGTTATCGGGTCAGATTTCTAATCAGCCAATCCTAAAGCACACCACCACACTGTTCATAAACATTCAATTCATATTGACAATGGGTGTGGAAGTGAAATGATCTACATTACCTTGTGCAACTCGTCATAGACAAGCTGATGAGCAAAACGAGGACAAGGTTCCTCTTCCTGTAGGGCCTTAGTGGGGTTTTCTTTCACCGCCTGGTCATTCTTATAAACACATGACCTGCAGACAAACACACAGACTTAGTCTTTCATACTAAACTGTGCATACTGTCCTAGAAAAGTGTACACACACACACACACACCCAAATCAAGTCAAATAAACAAAATGACAGAAACCAGTACACCAGATCCAAAGGAAACACTGAAAGACTGATTTTTCAGAAGCTATAAGCCAACTGCTTCAATTAGCGTACAGAACAAAGGGTTTTCTCCCCCAGTTTAAGTGCAAAGCACATTTAATACACACACACACACACACACACACACACACACACACACACACAGACAGACCACATGCAAGCAGAGAACATTCTGTTCCTGTTTGATGGTCACCAACTCCCTTTCTGAAGGTCAATACAACTTTCGCTCTGGCTTTATTCAATATATGTGAATGCGTGTGCAAGCTGAGAACAATTTATATAAGGGGGTTTTGTATGATGCATTTACGCTCATCGTTGGCTCTGCAATGTATGTTCAATGCACTGAAAAGAGAACATACAGTCCAGGAAGGAAAGAGCATATTTTTTCATCATAACGGAAGATTTCCTTCTTTTCCAGCAGTGTATGGCAAGTGCCTGAAGGCGCTCTGTGGATTACCGATGCAGGCAGTCCTCTGGGCCACAGCATATAAACACAGGTCAAGCATACTCATTAGCATTCAATGTGCAGTGCTGTACAGATGAATAGTGTGTCCAAGAACTCACGCACCAGTTGTTGCGTGCAATGTCGTAGATCCAGAAGGAGTTGCGTACATTCTCCTCGCGTTTGTCTTTGTCTTTGCTGAGTCCTGATAGAACGTGGATCTCATTGAGCTCTGGGTCGATGGTGGCACGCTGAGTGAATCCTGTCATTGGTACTGCAACACAAACACAGGCTTAAGCTTAGATCGTTAAGAGAAGGCATAAACTGTGTAAAGCATTATGATGTAGCAGCTTGGTGTAATCATTGGAAATAACATGCAAATCACCTCCATTTCATATATATCACTCTCCTATTAAATTCAGATAAGACAGAGATATTACTTATTGGACCAAAAGACAGTACACAGAATCACTTGGAGTACAATTTGCAACTAGACGGATGTACTGTTACTTCCTCTACAGTCAAAAATCTGGGTGTTATATTAGATAGCAACTAAGAAGCATTGCCAAGTTACGAAACATGTTACCTGTTTCTGATGCAGAAAAGCTAGTTCATGCATTCATAACCTCTAGACGGGACTATTGTAATGCACTGCTTGGTGGTTGTCCTGCATCTTCAATAAACAAGCTACAGGTAGTCCAAAATGCAGCAGCTAGAGTCCTTACCAGGTCAAGAAAATATGATCATATTACCCCAATTTTACAGTCTCTGCACTGGCTACATATTAAGTTCCGTATCAGTTACAAAATATTATTACTTGCCTATAAGGCCCTTAATGGGTTAGCTCCTGCGCACATGCAAGCAGAGAACATTCTGTTCCTGTTTGATGGTCACCAACTCCCTTTCTGAAGGTCAATACAACTTTCGCTCTGGCTTTATTCAATATATGTGAATGCGTGTGCAAGCTGAGAACAATTTATATAAGGGGGTTTTGTATGATGCATTTACGCTCATCGTTGGCTCTGCAATGTATGTTCAATGCACTGAAAAGAGAACATACAGTCCAGGAAGGAAAGAGCATATTTTTTCATCATAACGGAAGATTTCCTTCTTTTCCAGCAGTGTATGGCAAGTGCCTGAAGGCGCTCTGTGGATTACCGATGCAGGCAGTCCTCTGGGCCACAGCATATAAACACAGGTCAAGCATACTCATTAGCATTCAATGTGCAGTGCTGTACAGATGAATAGTGTGTCCAAGAACTCACGCACCAGTTGTTGCGTGCAATGTCGTAGATCCAGAAGGAGTTGCGTACATTCTCCTCGCGTTTGTCTTTGTCTTTGCTGAGTCCTGATAGAACGTGGATCTCATTGAGCTCTGGGTCGATGGTGGCACGCTGAGTGAATCCTGTCATTGGTACTGCAACACAAACACAGGCTTAAGCTTAGATCGTTAAGAGAAGGCATAAACTGTGTAAAGCATTATGATGTAGCAGCTTGGTGTAATCATTGGAAATAACATGCAAATCACCTCCATTTCATATATATCACTCTCCTATTAAATTCAGATAAGACAGAGATATTACTTATTGGACCAAAAGACAGTACACAGAATCACTTGGAAGTTTTTTTACTCAAGCTTCAGTCTGGATCCAGAACACCCGAGAAGAGATGATGCCAACCCCTCAGATGATGCCAACCCTAAAACAACTTACAGAACTACCACATTTTGCTAAAAGTTTGATTGCATCATATAATAATTGCTGTTAATAGTGTTCATCGTCTGTTTGATTACGTCTTTAATTGATTTTTCCGTACATTTCTGCCATATGTACATTAACTGACAGTCACCACTGATCAGCTACCACTAAAGATTGTAGAATCTTAATTTGCTGTAAAGTTGCTTTGCAAGGATTTGTATCGTGAAAAGCGCTATACAAATAAACTTGAATTGAATTGAATATTTTTTCTATGGTTTCAGCCAGACTCGGCAAATGCTGTACCAAAGGTAAAAAAAATTTTTTTGCCCCACCCGGAAATGGTGAGTGAATTACCAAAATTTGCATTATTTTTTAATATTTAAATCAGCCATGAAGTTTTGCATTATTTCTTTAATACATTAATATGACCATAGATATAATATTAAATATTTTTATACATTGTTTAATAATGTTCTAAAATGTTTGATTAATAACAAACTATTTAAAAATATGTATTTTAAATTGACAAATATTGCATTAGCAAGTGAATTTACATTTTTGTATTTATTGTTGATTTTAGCATTATTCTTTTATTACCTTCATTTAACTGAATTGCTATTAAATAAAAATACAAAAAATATGTAATATTTATAAATTTATTTTTATATTTATAAATATTTATTTTTAAATAAATATAATTTTAAGATTTAAGCAACGCTGTAGATTCATGCTTACAATATTTAATATTATATTAATACAAAACTAAGGAAATAATAATAATAATAAAATTATATTTAATAATTATTAAATCATAAATCACTCCATGGTATCTATTCTCTTCAATTTTCCTAGAGTTTCGACCCAAATAAATATCATTCTCCTCATTAATTTTTTTTTTTAGAATTAGTTTATTTAGCATGTAGTTGTGAAATAAACAGGATAAAGTCCCAGGACGGCTTTAGGTCATTTGAATCTGGCCTGTAATTCCATTTTATTTACACACATTTTGTATTGTTTTTTGAGCATAAAAACATCACCCTGGTTTGGAACTACATGATAAATGATTTTTGGGGGGTAAACTATTCCTTTAAGGTCTGGTTATGAACATACTGTTTGGGCTCACTGTTTCCTTCCTGGTAAATTGTGTTTTGTTCAGTCTTATTTTTGTCTCTCTCCGCTGCCTTCTAGCTCTTGTTCTCACCCCCTGTCCTCGTCGCACACACACATCTCTCTCTAACGCGATAACAGAGAGAACACAGAGGTCTTTTTATACTCTCTCATTGTGTCAAGTCGCCCATTGAGATTTTACACAATCTGTTTATGGGAACAGGAAGTGTGTCTGCACAGTCTCTCTCAGGCTTCACAGAGCTCTTAGACACGTTCACCTTCAGTACCTCTCCACTCTGTGAACTGGCTGCTCGATTTGGTATGTTCCTTCAAGCTTGACACAATATCATGCAATCGTTACTGATTATAGAGAAAGCGAAGAAAAATTTGGGGGACATTATGTGGGTGTGCAAACATTATGACCTGTCTGCTCACCAAATTCTTCTCCAAGCTGATCACAGACATTTTACAAAGTCTGCTTTGTTTTAAGTCTTGATTGTGCATGTGAGTTTCATTTATATGCATGTGTGGCTAACATGAGTAATCAAACGAGTGTGTGTTAGGTGAGCAAATCACCACAAGTCACGCTCAGTTCTTCAGAAGCCAATCGAAGTTCTGAGAACTTCAAATTGATAGTGTTTAATGCTGATTTGTGCCGAGAGAGGGCAGACGCTGCGAAGACGCAGGTGTTTCAGGGTTATTTTAGTATTATTGATATACTATTATAGCATTTAATAGTATTTAGAATGAACTTTTATTTTTATATTTTTGATAGTGCTCTTTGTAAATTTTTGTTCATGTTTTATCATGTCCATGTATTTATTTATTTATTCTTTTTATTTCAGTTTTTAATACATTTATAATAATTTTAATACCCCCAACATAACATATTTTAGGTAGCTGCCAACATTTCTAATCTTAATTTAGGTTTTTCATCTAATATTAATATTTTATTTCAGCTTTATTCCGAAAATTATTTTAATAGTTTTAATTTCAGTTAATAATAACAACACTCCTGCGTTTCTTGAAAAGCCCTCATGCTCAATAAGGGAGGAATCTGTGCCCTATGCAGGGACCAGAATATCATTGAGACTTTGGTTAGGAAGTAAGCACCTAGCAATACCCTTGAACACCCTTAACATAATGCCTGTGAGACTAGCATGTTCTCAAGAAAAAAAAATACAGTTTTACATAACCAGAGTCATCTAAGGCTGCAAATCTAACAGAGAAGACTTTAAATATTAAAATGCATATTTCATGCCGAGTCTTCAGAGGAGAGTATCTTGATGAATCAGAATGCGTGTTCTTTGTACAGCAGCATATTGTAACCTCAAAAACCTTGTATCCCTGCTCAGGAATGTGCTGTAATATTTACCCCTCATCAGGACTATTCTCACTAGAAACATTCATCACTATCATCCAGACCAGCAGATCTGTGTATATCAGTATCACGGAGAAAGATGATGTCAAGTTGATTTAGCTGTTGAACAGTAAGACTGCAACAGATCACATGTTCGCCTCAGCTGCACGTAACTGGCCGCAGCAGCTGTGACATAATCCCCACCTGATTCAACTCTAATTCTGAACGTGATGTCACCTTCATGCTTAAGATTCCTCTGCTCTCCTTTTAACGAGTGTCTTCTCAGGGCACGACTTTGTAAGACCCATTAGCTGGGTTTCCATCCAAAGTTTGCGAATTTAATTTAAGCACAAAATTGGAATATCGCATAAAACATTTGTGAATAAGCACCGTTTCCATCCAATGAGCCAAAGAGAACAAAATCGTCCCTTCCTGATAAACTGGAACTAAATATCACTAAGAAAAGTAGGAGAAGCTACTGAATATAAAATTTTCTTATATAATACATTGTTTGTGCCTCAAAGCGAGCAGACGAAACAATATGCGCGGTCATTGCCTTCGGAAGCGGATGCCTGCTGTTTGGGAAGGCAGTCGTGTCGTGGGAAGACAGTTCGGATGCAGTTATACAGAAACACTTTGATGACAGACTTTTGCATGTGCATTTAAGAATGACCATTACATTTCAGATGCTGTGCAAGAAGATCGGTTTGCTGGTTAGTCAGGTTTTGCCATCCCACAGCACAAAGTCACATTACTTTTTTTGATGCATTCGCAAAATGCATTTCAATCTCCCATTAACTCTTTTTCGCAAAAGTCAAAAACCACCTCAATGGGTTTTTCTTCGAAATATGGCATTTCCATTATTCGTTTCAAATGCGATACTTCAAAATGCGCATAACAGCAGGGTGATGGAAACATAGCTATTGTTACAGTATGACAAAAAAATTAATCTTGAAATGACATCAAAAAAGACACCGCTGCCTTCTAGCTCTTGTTCTCACCCCCTGTCCTCGTCGCACACACACATCTCTCTCTAACGCGATAACAGAGAGAACACAGAGGTCTTTTTATACTCTCTCATTGTGTCAAGTCGCCCATTGAGATTTTACACAATCTGTTTATGGGAACAGGAAGTGTGTCTGCACAGTCTCTCTCAGGCTTCACAGAGCTCTTAGACACGTTCACCTTCAGTACCTCTCCACTCTGTGAACTGGCTGCTCGATTTGGTATGTTCCTTCAAGCTTGACACAATATCATGCAATCGTTACTGATTATAGAGAAAGCGAAGAAAAATTTGGGGGACATTATGTGGGTGTGCAAACATTATGACCTGTCTGCTCACCAAATTCTTCTCCAAGCTGATCACAGACATTTTACAAAGTCTGCTTTGTTTTAAGTCTTGATTGTGCATGTGAGTTTCATTTATATGCATGTGTGGCTAACATGAGTAATCAAACGAGTGTGTGTTAGGTGAGCAAATCACCACAAGTCACGCTCAGTTCTTCAGAAGCCAATCGAAGTTCTGAGAACTTCAAATTGATAGTGTTTAATGCTGATTTGTGCCGAGAGAGGGCAGACGCTGCGAAGACGCAGGTGTTTCAGGGTTATTTTAGTATTATTGATATACTATTATAGCATTTAATAGTATTTAGAATGAACTTTTATTTTTATACTTTTGATAGTGCTCTTTGTAAATTTTTGTTCATGTTTTATCATGTCCATGTATTTATTTATTTATTCTTTTTATTTCAGTTTTTAATACATTTATAATAATTTTAATACCCCCAACATAACATATTTTAGGTAGCTGCCAACATTTCTAATCTTAATTTAGGTTTTTCATCTAATATTAATATTTTATTTCAGCTTTATTCCGAAAATGATTTTAATAGTTTTAATTTCAGTTAATAATAACAACACTCCTGCGTTTCTTGAAAAGCCCTCATGCTCAATAAGGGAGGAATCTGTGCCCTATGCAGGGACCAGAATATCATTGAGACTTTGGTTAGGAAGTAAGCACCTAGCAATACCCTTGAACACCCTTAACATAATGCCTGTGAGACTAGCATGTTCTCAAGAAAAAAAAATACAGTTTTACATAACCAGAGTCATCTAAGGCTGCAAATCTAACAGAGAAGACTTTAAATATTAAAATGCATATTTCATGCCGAGTCTTCAGAGGAGAGTATCTTGATGAATCAGAATGCGTGTTCTTTGTACAGCAGCATATTGTAACCTCAAAAACCTTGTATCCCTGCTCAGGAATGTGCTGTAATATTTACCCCTCATCAGGACTATTCTCACTAGAAACATTCATCACTATCATCCAGACCAGCAGATCTGTGTATATCAGTATCACGGAGAAAGATGATGTCAAGTTGATTTAGCTGTTGAACAGTAAGACTGCAACAGATCACATGTTCGCCTCAGCTGCACGTAACTGGCCGCAGCAGCTGTGACATAATCCCCACCTGATTCAACTCTAATTCTGAACGTGATGTCACCTTCATGCTTAAGATTCCTCTGCTCTCCTTTTAACGAGTGTCTTCTCAGGGCACGACTTTGTAAGACCCATTAGCTGGGTTTCCATCCAAAGTTTGCGAATTTAATTTAAGCACAAAATTGGAATATCGCATAAAACATTTGTGAATAAGCACCGTTTCCATCCAATGAGCCAAAGAGAACAAAATCGTCCCTTCCTGATAAACTGGAACTAAATATCACTAAGAAAAGTAGGAGAAGCTACTGAATATAAAATTTTCTTATATAATACATTGTTTGTGCCTCAAAGCGAGCAGACGAAACAATATGCGCGGTCATTGCCTTCGGAAGCGGATGCCTGCTGTTTGGGAAGGCAGTCGTGTCGTGGGAAGACAGTTCGGATGCAGTTATACAGAAACACTTTGATGACAGACTTTTGCATGTGCATTTAAGAATGACCATTACATTTCAGATGCTGTGCAAGAAGATCGGTTTGCTGGTTAGTCAGGTTTTGCCATCCCACAGCACAAAGTCACATTACTTTTTTTGATGCATTCGCAAAATGCATTTCAATCTCCCATTAACTCTTTTTCCGCAAAAGTCAAAAACCACCTCAATGGGTTTTTCTTCGAAATATGGCATTTCCATTATTCGTTTCAAATGCGATACTTCAAAATGCGCATAACAGCAGGGTGATGGAAACATAGCTATTGTTACAGTATGACAAAAAAATTAATCTTGAAATGACATCAAAAAAGACAAAAAAATCAGGCTAATGACATCATACCCATGCCTGAGTCCTTCTTGGTGCCATCTGAGATGATCTCCACGTGGTCACCATCAACATCGTAACTGAAGAAATCATTCAAGTACGTTTTGGACCTCTGACCTCCAAAAACATACAGGCAGCGATTTCTCTGTGGGAGAGAAAATAAAAATTGTCAAATCAAATTTGTTGTCAAAACCACCCATAAATTCCACTTAACACCAATAAATTTATACCAGTAAACTCAAAAACTCACCAATCATCTGTCTTAAAACCATTTTTGTAATCAACTTTCTTATTTATATTGGGAAATGACATTCAGGTATATATATATAATATATATTATATATATATATATAGTCCTAATTCATACCAGAAAAGCCACAAATGCATCTATCAAAAATATAAGGTCAGTGTGCAACAAATCTGAGTTGCTGCTCAGAGCTCTTTATGGGTCAATACTAAGGAGACGGACCGTGTGAAAGAGCATGCAGTGTCCGATGCGGGACTGGATGTCCTCCGGCCCGGCGTTACATGAGTCTTCTCTGAGCAGACTCCAGCTGCCAGCTTGACATTGATATGCGTAAAGCCCGCTGAACTGAGGTTCTGACGTCCGGCTGTCATCCACGCTGCCGTTACACGTCAGAATCCGACCACCAAAAGTGTAAATCATGTGTTTCTCAGAGTCCATGCACATCTGAGAGAGAGAGAGAGAGAGAGAGGCAGACGGTTTGTCAAAATACCTGAGAGATCCTGAACTGTTCATCATAAACCTGTACAAGGGAGACTCCTGGTGGTGTGTGGGCATATATCCATACAAAATGCGTACCTGGTGGTCGAACACGAGTTTGGGTCCTCCATCAGCAGACGTGTCTTCGCTTAGGAGAGTCCACGTGTTGGCGTCAATGTCATAGCAGTAGAAGTCACTCTTCAGTGACTTGCTGTTTCTGACAGAGGAGTCCAGATAACGGCCCAGAGTGTAGATTTGCCTCCGCTGAGAGTCGATGCACATTTTGTGACACGACCGAGCACTGGGACCGTTCTAAAAGAAATATATCACAACCTTTATAGTTTTCGCCTCCAAGTCAGATCACCTATAGATCAACTGATACATATAGCACACAACAATTTAGTTTTTTCAAAATTGCATTTTTCCTCAAGTTCTACAAAAACATTTTTAGCTTTTAAAGGGATAGTTCACCCAAAAATGAAAATTCTGTCATTAATTACTCACCCTCATGTCGTTCCAAACCCGTAAGACCTTTGTTCATCTTCAGAACAGAAATGAAGATATTTTTGATGAAATCCGAGCGCTATCAGACTCTTCATCGACAGAAATGCAACTACCACATTCAAGGCCCAGAAAGGTAAAGACATAATTAAAATTTCATCAAAAACATCTTAATTTGTGTTCCGAAGATGAATGACATGAGGGTGAGTAATTAATGACAGAATTTTCATTTTTGGGTTAACTTACTATCCCTTTAATTAGTCTCTCAGAGAATAATGTTTTTAGAAGGTACCAGGACTCGAATGTGTGCTCTGAGGAAAAACTAGTCACTGGAATATCCAAAATTTGCGAGACTTAAGTTATAAAATCTATGGGCACGTAACCTAGTTAAGTACATTACACATTGTTGTCAGTTACACTAGTGAAAAAAATTAAAATACTGGAAACATTTTTTTTTTTTTTTTTGGGATGGACAAATTCTTTGTAGTCTGCATTAGGGCTTAGCGATTTTGGAAAATAATCAATATTCAACAATATTGTACGGTGGCCGAGAAGTGCAAAGCAAATCACAATTCTGAAAACAAAATAACAAATTACAAACACAAATGCAAGTCTAAAAAACAAAAAAAGGAAAAAAAAAGCTCGGCAAAAGACGGGATCGAACCCGGGTCAATCGCGTCAAAAAGCCAAAGACACGCACTTATCCATCTGCGCCACTGGAACTGATGATTTACAGCCACTTTTAACTAAATGTAAATAGACACCCCGTATTTTTTATTCCATAGTAAGGGCAATTCATACAATACATTTAAACTGAGCTACTTTAATACCATCTCCGAACTTTCTACCACAACTCTGCTGTTCTTCGGCTGGTTCTTCCTGTATACGTTGATTGACAGATGTCTCGTCCAGTCAGCGGTGAGTAATCCCAAACCAATGGCGCTGTCTCAAACTATACCTACCTCTTCCGGTTTGTCTGATTTGTCGTTGTGTTTTCCGACTTGTTCATTTGTTTTCGGATTTGTTGTTGTGTTTTCTAACTTGCTATTTTGTTTTAGAATTTGTCATTGTGTTTTCTGACTTGTTATAATGTTTTCTGAATTGTTGTTGTGCTTTCTGAATTGTTATTTTGTTTTTTAGACTTGCATTTGCGTTTGTAATTTGTTATTTTGTTTTCAGAATTGTGATTTGCTTTGCACTTCTCGGCCACCATAATATTGCGATTGCAATTTAATATGCAATTATTTTTTAAAGCTCTTTATGTTCTGTATTATTCAACAAAGACAAGCTAGAAATCATTGTATAGTAGGACCAACACACTATTAGATAGATTAAACATAAATGTTCTTTTCTGTAGGCCAGGGCCTGTATTCACAAAACATTTTATCTTACCACTAAGAGTTCTCCTAAATAGCAGTAAAAGTTTTTAGCTAAGATTTTTCTCTTAAAACCAATTCACAAAGCTGCTGAGACAAACTTTTACTAAGGAATAGAGAGAAGTCTTAAGATAAGAGTAAGGGTGGGGTTGACCTCATTGCTATGGATGATGTCAGCATGCTTACTAAGTATGCACACAGTGATTGGATGATAGTCTCTGTCAGAGATGTATTCATAGAAATATTGTAGAGCACGATTTTGTGTTGCCATATTCAAATAAAGGTTAAAAAATAAAAATGTTAATTGCCACATTCAAATAAATATTTTGAAATGCAGGCTAAGAGTCAGGCTAAAAGGCTATAAACAGCCTTTTAATTAACAGAGAGGAATGATCATGGCTGATAGTAAGACATGCAAACGTAAAACAAAACCAAACTGGACGCAAGAAGAGCTGTTACTTTTTGCCCAACTGGTTAAGGAAAACAAGGATATAGGCTAATCAAAGGAAAATTGTCCCAGACAAGTTCTACAACAGTCATAATACCCCCGCGATTAAGGCGATATACATTTTTAAAAGCTCATAATTATCAAATGTTTCTAAAATGTTTATATTCCGAGGCAGATTGCCGGCAACAGCCATTTTAGGATAGTTTGTGGCTTGGTCTTAGTGACTTAGGAGTCCTATTCACTAACCTTTCACAGATTTAGGAGCTAGTTTTTGTGCTAAAATGCTTTGTGAAATACCTAAATAAATTTAGGACTGACACACCCATTATTTTTAAGATTTTCTCCTAAATTGGCGAGTTATGAGCTACTTTTAGCCTTAAGATGTTTTGTGAATACGGGCACTGACAAATAAGCCTGGTGTAAACATTAATATGAAAGTCAGTAACAAATCACACAAACTAAAGTAGATTGCAGAAATATAAAAACAAATCTGTTGCTTTACCACATTACCTTAGGTAATTCAAAGTCACTGTAATAAACATATGTAAACAGGTGGACTGCACTAACACAGTCGGTTAAATTTAGACCAGTGGTTCTCAAACTTTTTGGTTCTCACGCCCCCCTTTAAACCTATAAAAAAAATCTAATCTAATCAATTGAGTAGTGAGTACTGAGCTGTGGATTCTACCCCCTCATAATAAACGCTGTACACCGCAATTGATACATTTTAAAAACGTTGTACATTCTGTAATTCACATTATCTTGTTTGTCATAAAGAATGAAGAATATCTATCATCCAGCAGTTTTAATTTTGACTGCCAACTCTAATACATCAAAACAGCACGGAAACAGTATTCAGTTGAAGAAAAGATGAAAGTTATTCTCAGTACAATCATCCCCATTTAAATCAAAGTTTGAAGGAAAAAAATCATGTGTAAGGCCACTGAGACAGCATGCTGTTGTTGCACATACAATATTAATGTTTAGAACAGTGCAAATACAAACACCATTAGAAACTCATAGTTCAGCATCACACACCATGATATGGGTTAAAATGAGAGCCCATTTCTCTCCAAAACGGTGCCAGTTTTAGCGTTTTGCAATAAATAAGAATAACTAAACTTGATCATTTATGTTACAATTTTAACATAAATGCACATTGTTCTAGAAGGATGGCATCATGCCATTCCTTTTACACGTTTACTCGAATTGTTATGCTGATAATACAATTGTACAATTTGTAAGGAAAAATGCATTAAATAGCAAGGTATTTCTGGGGAAACTTTTTTAAAGGAAGACACATACACACACACACACACGCATGTCTCTTTGCTGAGCCGCGGCGGCATGCTAAATGAAGGCGGATTGTATAAAACTGATTTTTTTTAAAAAACGTTTATTAACCATCTGCAGTTTTATTACATCACGCGCTGGCACAGATGCAGTATATTAACGCCACGGGTCATCAATAAGGTGCAGATTGGTCCTCAATTTGTGTTTCCAACACACTTTTTCACAGTGCGCATCATGCGCTCAAACTCATCAAAAGTCAACAAGTTCAACAAGCAACAACAATGACTTATCCAAGCGACTGCTGCAGAACACACGCGAGAGAGAGACAAGGCAGCGCAGATCGCGCGTCTCATAAATGAGTGGGAATTTACCGAACGTGGCACTTGCAGGAGTTAACACTGTATGCAATACCCGCAACCTCACACCAAATTTCAGGACGTGTAGATAGGCAAGCATATATACAAATCAGTATATATATATATACATATATCATATATACAATTTAGTAAGCAGAAATCCGAAATTTACCTTAACCTATTAAGTTAGAGGAAGATGCGACTGAATTGATGCTTGAAGAATGCACTTCCAGCAGCCATGATAAACAGTTGGCGGTTAAAGTTTTCTATGCACAATTTGATTTGACGGAAGTCACGAGACCTATTAGGCTACTATCTCTCTATCCAATCACGTTGATGGATTTAAATAACATTTAAATAAGCATGTAACGACCACAAACGGAGGAAAATAGCGGAGTAAAAGTACCGATACATCACTTAAAATGTACTCAAGTAAAAGTAAAAGTACACAATTTTTAAACTACTCAAAAAAGTACAATTACTGATAAAAACTACTTAATTACTGTAACGTGAGTATTTGGAATTTGTTACTTCCCACCCCTGCATAGGACACACAGAGGCTTTCCTCCTCACCAACGACATTAAACACTGTCTACACCGGACGCGAGCGGCAAAATACAGTAGAAACCATTATAATCAGTGACACTGTCTACACTAGATGCGGCGCAACATGACAAAACACCACATTAAACTGATGCCTTGTTCCATTTATGACGTACTACTGACACAAAGTTAAAATGATTTGCAACGGTCATTTGCCGCGTCCAGTGTAGAGCTGTTGCGGCGCGACATTTTTATAACCTTTTTTTAAAACAAAGAGCAATAGAAAAAATAAATCCAAAGAGCCGAATAGCCCATCACGCAGATTGCATTTAAAAACATGAGACGCAGTGAAAAGGAATAAACCTCCACAAATTCGTGACGTGTTTTTTAAAAGTTTGAACTGTTTTAACTTTGCATGGCTTTCTATACATCTCTTGTGTGAGACGTGAGAGCAGCAGTCATATTTGTCTAAAAAATGTGTGAATGGCTTGGTTTCGGTTTTAACCTAATCAAGATCTTCTCCGCATTGAGCTACTATATTTCTCTAATATTTTGAATGAATAACGCAGCAACTGCGCGTCTTGTGGGTTAGACTTATAAAACATTAAGATGCAACAACGTCACTTACATCATCACCACCGCATCTCGCACGCCACTAATGACGCTCCCTGATGCACACCTAACATTTGATTGTACTATTTTTGCATTCAAATGCAAATGTTTATTTTAAATTCGACTAATATTAATTTTTTTAAATTCCCAATCTCCTCATCACAGGCAGGCACAGCACTCAATTCAGCATGTGTTTGTGTTTGTGTGCTGTCTGCGTCACTCATAGCACGTGCCTATATCGTGTGCTATATCGAAAACATTTTCTATCGTTATCGAAGAAGGTGTACCGCCGATAAATATCGATACCTTGTGGGCATTTGCGACTGAAAACTACTGCGTGCGACTATAAAAAAATGTTTAGGAGCACCAGTGCAACTGACCCGATCATCATAATACTTGTGATTGCGCTGAGGGGAGCTTCAAATGTTTCTACGTGTTTTTGCAGCGTTGAGTAATGTCTCACAGACGTATCTCACGAATCCTTTCATAAGCAAAGTGAGAGATTCATTGCGCAGTGTAGAGAGCTTTGCTGATTATAGATGTGAGGTCGAGATGAACTAAGATGAGTGCCAGCTTTTGATGATTTTTAAAGGAGTTTGTAAATGTGATACTGATTTAAAACAATACATTTCAATAAACAAGAAGTTAATATTAAGTGACTTGCATTGTCTGACTATAACACAATTGTCTGATTTTGCTCTATTTTGTCGTCGAAAATAGTTTAAAACAAAGTCACAGCTCAGCCGCTGCGCATCTCCATTCAAACACAGCGGTGTCTCGTTTATGAATGAAGGTTTTTTTTTTTTTTAATGAATCTAGTGAGTCTGTGATTACCCATTCATAAAGACAGTCACTTGATTCATTCCTGAATGAATCAGCCGTTCGAATGAATCAATTGAATGAATGATTCAGTGATACAAATCAGTGACTTACCGCCACCTGCTGGCAGTTTGTTTAAATTTAAAAGTATCTTTTCAGTTATTTAAATCATTTAATATTTCTATATCCAAAATTGTAAATTTAAAACATTAATATCATGAATTTATGGATTTAATTGCACTCATTCCACTTCTGAGCCTCATTAAATGTCAAAGTACACCAAGCCACTTTTGTGTTCTTCTGTGCCACCTCTACAAATTAATTTTGTTAATACCGATTTAATTTGATTGTAACTTATATTTCTTATTCTACTTGTTCTTATTCTGTCGTTTTAATTAAATTTTTTAAAAAGCTTATAAAATATAATTTTTTTAAGAATTTGACAAAAGATGACATACTTTTAATAAAGTTAGAGGAGTCAAATATCACCTCGTAATGGGAAGGCTACTTTTTGATAACATTTTGGATAATTGTTTAGAAGGTGCTCCTAAAATTTTGAACGTGCTCCTAAATTTTTTAAGTTAGGAGCACAAGTGCTCCTAAAAAGAAAAGCGTAGAGCCCTGATACACCGATCGATCTCTTAGTTAATGCTGGAGAGTGTACCAGACTTTATGCAGATTTCAGCAGCCAAAGAGATCTCCATTGTAACTTCCATCAGCACTGTGGTGTCAATCTACACATTTTTCATTACAATCACTTCATTCTCTTCCTCATTCACAAACTACAACAACTATGAGTCAAAAATTACCTACAGATAAAGGAGTACAACGTCACTCAGTGAACTTTGCACAGAAAGCACAGTGAAGTATGCGGAACTCAATGGCACGATGGAAACATCTAGGAGATTTTTGTGCCAATCAGCTGAGTCACAATCGAAAGAAATTCCTCTTTTACTTTCTCTCTTACCTCTTTCTCTGTATCCCTGGAGATACAGGCCCATTGGTTCTCCTTCACACTGTACGCCCAGAAATCAGCCAAGTCCTGCGTTCCATCCCAGCCACCAAACAGATACACGGTTTCTGCCAAACAAAGAGGCAAATACAAAAAACAGAAAGAGAAAGCGATGGTGAGTGGGTGAGGCGTTTTACACCTTTATAAGAAATTCAATATGAAATCGAAGGGTAAAAACTATTATGGTATTTTAAAAGCTATTATAAATCATCATATTATTGAAGGCAGCTGTGTGCTGAGGTTGGAAGGCTGATGTCGCCATGGTGATAAGCAGAGACAGTTGTTTGAGCTATTGAGAGTCAGCTGAGCTGTACAGCAGGTTACTTGAGGTCAGTTTGAATGCACAGGGCCACATGAGGGCTGCGGGGATCGATTGTTCCTCTAACAAGCAGCTCACAGATTCACACGCACATTTAAAACAGCCCTTAACTCGCAACAGCGGGGCTAAATGCAGTCTTACCATGCATTCCACTACAACCAAGACAGAACAAGCTAAATAGTGCCGCAATAACCGCCCAATCAGAAACTTTGCAAATCGGCCATCTGACGCAAAACGTACCTGTCTGAACATCAATGACCATCTGATGACCTCCTCTCATGCCCGGCCTGTTATCATCACCATCACCTAATCAGAAAAAAAGGAGATGAACAGAAGTGAATTGAAAGTGGTGTGTGTCAGGAACAAGACACACACTGAATATCAATACAGCCCTGAAGTCATTTAATACAAGGATTCCCTGGAGTCCAGTATTCAGACTCAGAGCAAGAGGCCGCCACTTGTGTGTTCTGTCGTACCTTTGTTACATTTGGGGATGATCTGACTCCAGCGTGGCTTATAATCCTGCTGGCTGATGTACTGATTAAACAAACCATCTGGAAGAGAACAGATAAAGAATCAAGTGTGCACTTTAATTTGCTAATGCATGCTCCCTGAGCGGGAAACAATCCAAGTGTACATTAGGTTCTAATTACCGTAAATGTACACTGTGACCACAAAACAGAACATGCAAGAACATGGAATACAACTGCGAACGCCACGTAAAACACTTTCTCCTATCCCATTCAAACACGTAGAAGCTGATTCCTTCTAAAAATCTTTAAACAGTGTTAGTTCTTGACTAGCCTGACAGAGGATCAACCAATGGCTCAAGCCTTAGTGTGGACTATTTGTTTTGTCCGAAGAAAAGCCAGTTAACAACAAGTCAGTTAACTCTATGGCCATATTCGCAATGCCTCAGTCTGAGCAGTTTCGGTCATACTACTTGAATTCGGTCATCTACTTGAATGGGGGATGACTGATATCTCTAAAATAAAACAACGTATTGTATACCAATTAAACCTGACATCAGATGTTTCATAAAATTTCTTAAGCTAAAATTGCACACAAAAAAAAAACTATTTTCCAGATTGCTGTGCAAAGGATGGCAAAAAACAACCTAAAAGGATTAACAATTGGCTCTTTTTACTGGAAGGCAGGACTTCCTTCACAAGAGAGACCTTACTGAGTGTTGCACTTCCTCCCATTCATTGTAATACCCATGGACAGTCTCTGTGTAATATCGTCTTTGCTTCAATGCTACATAAATGCTAAATAAAGTGACACGACAGTCATTTATTATATTCAACAACAACGGCTCGTTCCATGTGTCATGCATCATTACACCATTTCTAGGTCATTGAATATGAGCAAAACTTTTCAATACGATCAAGTGTTTACATGTCATATCGAATGGATTAGAAAAGGTTTATCCCACCCCACTCAACTGAAATTTTGAAGTTTGGGCATTTTTATTCCAATTGAGGTGTTTACATGGAGCATTTTGATTCAGATTGGACTTTTAAACAGATTGTAATGGGAATACAATGCTCCATGTAAACATACCTACTGAGTACCACACCATTTTCACATCAATCTAAATATTCCAAAGTTTACTTTAAATTTAAACAACATTTATGCAAATGTCTTGCTAATAGCTTGCATGAAAAGTGTTTTGCGGACACACATTCTGCAGGTTGAATCATAACCAGGTGAACTTTTAAGTTGCACATTACTGACATATGACCAACACTGTTTTGGAAACTATAGCTCTCAACTGTGAAACCACCCACATGTTTGTGGCAAAAAGCAGCATGTTGGTGTTTTTTTATATCATTATGACTCAATTGTTATTTAAAATGTATGGGAATTTTGAAATATATAAAAACCATAGTTCCTTATTTTTTAACCTGCACCATTCAGTGAGTACAACAGGCAGTACAATTAGTTCAGATGGGAGTATGTGGAAAACAAGTTTTTCAAAGCAGTAAATAATCACTATTCAAATAATCAAATAGTGATTATTCAAATAGTTCAAACTAAATCTTTGAGTCTTTTTGAAGTACAATCTGCTGTATAATACTGCAATTGTGCCATAATGCTGCAAGTTAATCAAAATCTCTCTAAAGCCCGGCTCACACTGTGCGATTTTGGCCACGATTTGGTTGTCTGAGACAAATTTTGAAAATCCTAAAAGATTCCTATAATCCTAGGCGAAAATCTGTAGTCTTTGATCGTTAGTTTGACATGTTCACCGACAGCCGATTAATGGTCGTTGCGATCAAATTTGACCTCTGACGAACTTCTGGCAGTGTCAGAAGATTTGGCGCACAGTCCTGCAGTGTGACATCTACGACGACGAACGTCAAACTGTCTTAGTTTTTCAAGACAAGCCATGATCAGAATTAATGCTAGAGATTTCTTCTAACCGCATAAACTCCGGCGCTCCCGTCTTCCACTCACGGAATTCATATGATATGTTGCCTTTGCCAGGATAAACACTGGTTGCGCTGCTGTTTTCATGTGGATGTGTAGTGCTGCTTGCACTATTCTAATTAAATACGCCGGTATTCCCGCCATTCATATACTTTTAATGATAGCCAACATTACAGCTCCACGTGCCATGCAGCTCGCAGTCACTGAATGTGTATGGGTTAATAAGGTAAAACTCCGGATAAGTTTTCTTGCGCGCACCCATTTTTAACGCGTCTTGACTGTCATACAGTCTGACATTAATGACAACTGAGATCCCACAGTGTGACATGATCATCATGTTCGTACAGTCTGACAAGTACAATCCTAAAGGACTTTTTTTTTTTTAAATCGCACAGTGAGCCCGGTTTAGCAGTGAGAGCAGTGCATTTTAAAAATATAACACTTCTAACACTTAAAATCATGTCTAGTCTGCGTCAAGTGAAACAGATCGTTCGAGCAGAGATCATCTTTATTTGACATAAAATGTCAACAAGGATGTACTGGCTTGCAACGTAACACGATTATAATCCAGAACCATTCTGTTGCCTACAGGGAACCAACATGCCCACATTCCCTACTTAAAGGGTCATGAAACCCCCCCGTTTCAGCACTGGTTAGTTCTTATCACAGTTTTAAAAAAATGCTAAAAAAGTGGGCGTAGTGCGCAGCGGAGGGGAGGAGGGGGAAGAGGGGAGACAGACAACACACACAGCTTTGCGTTCAGACAGTTTCATTTCACTCCCATCGAGTTAAAAACGCGTTCAGACAGTTTCATTTCACTCCCATCGAGTTAAAAACGCGTATAAATGCACAGCCATTTGCACTCTGCATCGAAAACATATATATGAACGCGCTGTTGCACATTTGAGAACTTTTAAGGCTTATCCTGTGGCGTTTATATAAGCCTTTTGACGGGTTGTGTCTCAGAGCTGTAAAAACGGTTATGCTCACCAAGTGAATGAATCGCGTTTGTGCTGAACTCTTATTACAAAGCAAAAACAAACACTCTTCTTCGATCCATGAACGTTTCAGTTATTGTGCGCAATGTCATCTCACAGTCTGAAACGTCTGTCATAGCAAATCAACACATGCTGTTGTGAATAATTAAGCGGAGCGTCTTCTCATAGGATAAGAACACGCAGTCTCATGAATAATTTAATAGACACCGATACGTCATCGATGTACTATTTGTCCATTGCCACGTCACAAATTGTGACGCCAACACAATGTAGATTTTAAACCCGGAAGATGAAAATAGCGCAAAAAAGCTTAAAATTAACCAGTTTTCTCCAACAGTTAAAATTATCAGATGCTAACATTGTCTTCTATGATGTGCAACACAAACACCTCTGCTAAAATCTCAGAAAAAGTAGTCTGGGGTTCCATGACCCTTTAATGAATGTGGCACAGATCCATATGATGAGGTACCTCTCACGGCTTTGTCAATGAGCTCCTCGCAGGCGTCAAAGTCTCCTCTGAGAACCAGCCGCTCATGGAGGTGCGTGAGCATGGGATGCTCCAGAGCGATCCGTGTTTTCTTCTGCAGGGACTCGAAGGCTTCTGTGTAGTTGTGCTGCCGGAAGTGTTTCAGGCACAGGCGGATGGCCTCCTGTTCACGGTACTGTCGGGAGAAAAAAAAAAAGCACTTTAGCTGTAACGTGCCATCAATCCAAGCTTAATATTGCGTGAAACTGCCTGTGCAAATGGAGTGCGAGTGTTATAAAATCAAGAATGTTTTTCTTACTGGAACAGCTTGGCAATTTAAAAACTGTTAATGGTTATGACGAACAAAGACAGTGACGCAGTTTACTGAAATAAAGATTACGAAAAAAAATCAGGAAATATATATTACCTTAAATCACTTGTGTGTGATTATCTTTAAGCAGTGGGTGGTTAGTAATGGCATAATCTGAAATTACGCAGCATGTTAACTTTTACATTCTTTTAAGATAGACGTGTGTGTGTGTGTATTTGCCACCCATTTTTAGATCCAGAATTTCATTTCATTCTTTATCATTGCATAAATTAAAAAAATTTTTAAATATAAGAACAATTTTAATGGTCTTAGAATGCTTCTTTTGATTTTGGGATGAATTATGAACTTAACATTTCTTTGTGGCATTCATCCTCAAATATGGATGTGGATGTTCGGACACAACTCACCTTACTGTACCAGTTAAGGCAGGGCTGGACAACTTCTAGATCTTCTATGCCGTGTAACTCAATATACCAGATGCTGAAGTTAAAGCTGGGCCCCCATGACATCAGAGGCACTGTACATAACCAAACACACACAGACAGCATCAAGAGAGGACATTCACACTTTGCTTAAAAAAAAAAAAAAAAAAGCAAATTTTCCATTCTCAAAAAAATCGCAGAGATTTCAATGTCTGAAACACACAGCTTGCAATATTACAAGAGAAAAAGCTCTCACAAGCACTTGTTTGTTCCATCAAAGACTTGCAGAGTCATTCAATCACTCACTCACTCAACTCATTGTCTTCCTCTGAAATCATGTGATGACTGATCTTTCCCCTAAATGTGTCACCACATGAGTTCACCGGGTCTTTAGTTTGCTCTTTCTGTAAACACTCACCTATTTTAATGAACCTGCAGGGAAACATCTGCTCATCGATCTTGTGCTTTAGCGTGAATGTCTCCTTGTTGAAGTCATTCTTAAGGCCACTAGGATTAGATGAGAAAGACAGTCAATGACCTCACCACATCACAAGAAGTCATTTCCCAAAACATTACTCACATCGCAAGAAACACAATAAGCCATTTTATAAAATGTTTGTATTCTGGTGCTCTATTAGTAAGTTAATTAAATCCAGTCACCTGCTCTCGAGATGCTCTAAAAGTCCGTAAAGTATATCTGACAAAGATTAGCCTGTAAGTAGATTGTAATCACAAACTAACATTCTCCCACCAGTCTCACCTAGACAAGAGTTCCGTCATGTTTTCTTCGCTCATGCCTCCGAACACTTTGAACTTTTTCAGGTTGCACACGTGGGTTTTCTCATATTTGCCATAGGTGATGCTCAGAACGATAGCTGGTCTCTCCAGTTTTAAGATCAAGTACTGAGTAGCAGAAAATAAATAAAAACTGTTACACCAAAGCAATTCTGCAATGTCAATGATCAATTTTATCAAAAACTATTAAGATCAAAAACAGTCATCCATTACATATAACTTTACAATTTGTTTAAAAACTTTACCACATCAGTAAATCTAGACCGATTTCTAATATCATTCATCATTGTGCACGTTTAAAGTCACATATCAAGTATGTTTTGTAATAAAAGCACGAATATGATTTGAAAGCCATAACAGGGTGCAGATTTTCAGAGAATAATAAATGTAATTTCGGTCAGTTCCCTCTCAAATCTAGCAAACATTACAGTTCAAAAGTATGGGGTCTGTAAAATCTAAAATAATAATAATAACATAAATAAGTACTGAAAAGGATGTATTAAATTCATAAAAAAATTACAGTATAGACATTTATAATGTCTATAATATTTTTTTTTTCAGATGAACATTTTAACTTTTTATTCTACTTACTGTTTCCACAAAAATTAAGCAGCACAACCGTTTTCAACACTAATAATAAAAGATCTCTCTGACTGACCAAACAAGCATATTAGAATGATTTCTGAAGGATCAACAAGTTGTATGGGCCACTTTTCTTGTATTTTTTCCTCCCTGACAAGAGGTGGAAGACATATACAAAACACAAGGAAGATATGTTCTTGTGTTTCTGGTGCATATAAAGACACACTAGACCAAAAAGGCCAGAGACTGCGAGTGACAACAGCCTCTTCAGGTGCAGGTGGACAGGAGGGGTTTATATTATTCATGCTACCCTCATGAAAACAATTCAATCAACTGTAGACATCTATGACAGAACAGCCCGTAATCACAGCTTGTAAATTATTGCTTGGAACAAAGCAGTAGTGCTGGGCGGTATACCGGTTCATACCGAATACCGGTGTTTATTTTTGTTATGATATGTATTTTTAAAATACCGCAATACCGGTGTATGTCGCTTAAACAACGTTCGGAACTCGACACTGTTGGAAGGGGGTCCCTTTTCACTGTTGCACTGTGGTGAGGGAACAGCTTTATGTGTTACTAAGCGTGAAAGTTCAGCGTGAAACTGAAGCTGTAGAACTAATAGAATGTGATGACACAGAAGAACTCATCCACAATATCCACATTGACCGCCACAAATATCCACCACCCCCTGCCATCAGCTCCCGCATCTCACGCCCACACGAGTGCGACTTTAGCACTAGATTTAGCTATTTTCAGACCCTTTTAGCGGCTTTTTACCATAGAATATTCATACTGACAAACCTAGCGACTTTTTTGGATAAACCTTAGCTATGGTTCAGTTGGAAGATTTTGCCAGTGCTGTCCCGCGAACGCGAGGTCTGACTTTCCCAGAGAAGTGTCACCTCTCTCGGCGTCTGTTCTGTGCAGTGAGCGGCAGAGAAGCAGTGCATTCAGTTGGCCGCACTGCAGCTGACTCGTCAATAAATGAGTACAAAACAGCGTTTCCAAGCACCTGTCGCTTACTGATTGTTTGGAATTATAAATATGAGCGTAGTTCGTCTGTTAATATCACATGCACTTTTTTGTTTGTTACTCAGACGCAGGCAGTGCGCTGCATGAGATAAAAAAGTAATATAGCCAAAACAACCGCATAGCCACTCTTTAGTGTAAATGCACGTTGTTTTTATCAGACGATGCCGCAATTATAAATGAGAGTGACTCCTGGTTAACATGTATTAAAAGGGGTCGCGTTTAGTCACTATTTAGTGCGGTATTTTTATATTCACTCATCATGACAGTAAAATAGGGCATTCGAAGTCAATATACTGCAGTATTTCCTCTCTCAATCAGTAGAAAATATGGTTAACACCCGGTCATGCATGAAAAAAAAA